CCCCCCCCACTTTCCTCCAGAGTGGCCACCAGATCCCAGACCCTCCGCACACCACCCTGCTGAAAGGTCCTCTGGGAAAGTGGGGCTCCGCCTTGGGAAGCCCAGCAGGCACTGGGTGCTGGGACTGTGCAGGCCAAGAAAGTGCTAGAGAAGGTGTCTGTCTGCAAAGACCTCACTCAGAGAAGGCCTGCCAGCAGTTCAAAGGCATCTCACCCACCCTATCATCTCAATTTCTACCTTCTGTTTTTGTAGACTGCAGGCCCCCTCCCCACCCTTCACTTCCCCTCCCCCCTCTAATGGATTTTCATTCGCAGTTTTCCAGGAAAGCAGAACTCTTGGCTTCCTTCCTGACCCATCTGTCCCACCCCATCCCACCCCCAGTCTCGAGGCCCAGTCCGCAGGACAGCTGTGGGCACTTATGCTCCTGTCCTTTATGGGGGAAGGTCCCCAAGGGGTGGCTTATCTCAGGGAGGACGTGGGGGGGGCGGGAGATGCCGTCCACTGTGAGCCTCCCACCCACCTCTGGGCAGCAGTTGACCGGCCTGTTCTCTGGTTCTCAGCTCTGGCAGTTAGAGTGAGGGGGAGGGGGCGCTCTAAGGAATTCCAGGGAAGGACTGGTCATAGATAACTGCCGAGGAAATCTCCTAGGAGGACATCCCAAGATATCAGAGCAGCACCACAGAGGATACCAGCCAGTGTCATAAATTCCTAGACAGTTTGCACTGAAAGGGGCCTTGGAGATCAGCAAGTCCAGCCCCCGCTACTAGTCACCCGCTGGCTCACAGCAGCTTCAGGATTGGTCAGGTTCTTCTAGCGGGTCTTCTCCGCCAGGGACTCGCCGTTCACCTGGCTAGACTTGAGACCCAGTGGACCCAAAAGCTGCTTTAAAAAACCCTGTTCCTTCCCAGCAGGACCCAGGCCCTTTTGACCTGGGAGCATTCCAAGGCTGGGTGGGGAAGGAGCCAGACATGGGACAGGTCACTCAAATTCTCCCAGAGCCAACAAACCCTCATCCATTCAGCCTCCCAGTTTAGGGGAATGGAGGGGGCGGGGAGGGGGGGTGCCCTCCACATAGGGGAGGGGGCATTTGTCACACAGATGTGCCTCACCATGGCTGGGTTCCTTTGCTCTGAGTTTGGTGTTCTTCAGAAGCACCATGGGGGGGAGGGGCGGCCCCTTCACAGCCCTTGCTCCAGCCTCAGGGAAGTGGTTCTTGAGCACCAGTCTCCCTCTGGACCTTCAGCTCTGGACTGAAGCCTCCCCTCAGTGTCCCTCACCCCAGCCACCAGGATCCAGTTAGGGGAGTCTGGGACAGAGTGTGCCAACTGCCATGCAACATAGCCTGAGGGGAGTGGAATGATGCTGGCTGGAGGGGCGGGCCCAGGCCAGCTTCCCCACCCCCTTCTCCTCCAGCCTCTTTCCCCCATATGGTTCTCATAAGGTCTGGGCTCAGAGACAGCAGCCAGAGGAAGTGGCTGTGTACAGAGAGCTTTTGTGAGGGGAGGAGGGGGGAGGGGGAGAGAGTGAAGAGAAAGAAGGAAAGAAAAGAGGGAAAAGCAGAAGTGGGAGGAGGCCAGGACACTCCACACACTCCCTTACCCTCCAGTGGGGCAAGGTCTCAGCTGCAACACCCCATTGTGGGGTTTGGGACCCAGCCCACCTGAAATGAGGGGCCCAGAGGAGTCTAAGTTTCTCCCTGACCCTTCCCACCTACCTGCTAGAGGAGCTGGAAGTCTTGGGATCCCTTGTCCTTAGGGCTCCCCCACCCATGCAGGATGTCAGGGCCCATGGTCCCATCTCAGGGCGAGCACTGGGCAGAGAACAGAGCCCTCTGGGGTTCACTGGTTGAGTCCTCATGGCACCAGAGAGACTGAGGAGGCCATGAGCTGAGCTCCAAGGACAACACATATAATTCAGCCGCCAGTGGATCCAGGACCCAGAATGGATTATTTGGCCTGAATTATTCAGAACTGGGGCACGAACTCAGCCATTCCTGATCCCCTAGGAATCCCTTTCTGCTGGCTACCCTGGGTCATCCCTCAGTGTTGGAGTGGGGGCAGCAATCCCTAGCCTTAGGGGTGAGTCTGAGAATTTCCCCAAGGACAAAGGCAAACCAGTGTAATTTGAACCTAACCAGAAATTGACCCTTAAATTTGGGGTCATGTTTTTAATGGGAGAGAGTGTTTCTAAGTTTATGCCACATGGGAGTCATTGGGACCAGAACCCTTTCCTGAAGGAGAAAACGTTCCAGCCACCTCTGAGTTGATCCCTGGCCTTCCATTCAATGGGCTTTCCTCACCAAAGCCCAGAGAGGGGAGGTGAGTTCCCCAATGCCACACAGCCTGGACCGGGACCCTTCATTCCCTCACCATCCTGAGGTAGAGACTGCCCTGTGCCTCCTTGGGATCTGACTGAGAGCAGGGGAGGAGAGAGGAGGGAAATGGCCCTGGGCTGAGGAGCCAGAAGGAAAATCCGGTATCTGCTAGGAAGGGGCTGCTTGGAGGGGCTGTTTATTTTCATTCCCCCAGCCCAGCCGCTCTGTTCTATTTAGAGCTCAGACACTGACAGGACAAGGCTGCCTCCTCCCCTTCCTCCCTCCTGGGGGGAGGGGGGGCATCCTTCCCAAACTCCAGAACATTCCTTTGTTTTTAGGACTGGGTGACAGGGGTCGGGCAGCAGAGAAACTGGAGTTAGCTAACCTGGGCAGCCTCCCAGGACCCATCTCTCCTGGCCCTGGGAGTGGGGAGAGGCAGATGGGGGAGCAAAGGGTATGCAAGATGGATGGGGCCAGGTGAGGGGCAGGGAAACCAATCTGTCACAGAGGAGCCAGGAATGGGGGAGAGGGAGCAGCCTGAGGAGGGAGTTCCAGCCTGAACTTGAGGGGCCAGACATCTCCCAGCTGGGAAGGGAAGGCTGAGCGCCCCCTCCCCCCAGGGCCCTTTGCCTGCTGGGAACTGTGTAGCGAGGCAGAAACCCTAGACTTCAGGCTCCCAGAGTCTCCATGTCCAGGATGGGAAAGGCCATCAAATACTATAAGGGCTGCGAAGACCCATCTTTTACAGAGAAGAAAGCCCCAAGAGAGGGGCTAGCCTGCCCAAGGCTCCTAGCCAGACCCCAGGGCTCCTGGCCCAGTCAGCCTTTTCCCACACTGACCAATGAGATGTCATCCCTGGGGACAGCAGGGGAGATATGCTAAGGATTTGGGAGCCAGGGAAAGGGGGCACTCACCCCCAATGATAGCTTAACGAGTAAAAAGTGTACTTAGGGGACCACTGTCATCACTCAGAGTATTTGAAAACAGACTCACCCAGAAAGAGTGGGACCAGGTTCTCTAAAGCATTCCTCCCAGTGTTTGCTCTCCCTCTCCCCCTCAGCTTCTGGACTATTCGCCCCCTATGGTGGCCCAGAAGAGCTGTACTTGGAGCCGGGTTAGCTCCGAAGTGAGCTCTGGCAAGACTGACTTGGGATGGGGATGGGGGTCGGGGGAGAGGTAGGAGGAAATTGCCTCTTGACTTGGGAAAAACCAGGGTTCAGCATGAACTGTCTAATGACCACCCCACCTTCCCTGGACCCCTGTCCCTCCAGACACCCATCCATTCACTCAGCCAGTGCCTGTGCTGTGCCCAACCCCAGGCCAGGAGGTGAGAGACCTGCTCTCTGCCCTCCGGGCCTTGGAGTCTTATTGTGGAGACTGGATACAGACTCTCTCAAAGGAAGACAGGATCAGGGCCTCAGGGCTCCCAAGGAAAACTTCTGGGGTGGAAAGAGAGAGATAATTTATACTTATGTATAAACGACTGATAACAGATTGATCCTTTCAAGTTTACTTATATTTAAAAAGAAACTCACATTCTTCACTCAAAATCTTGGCTCCCCAGTGGTGAGATTTGGGGCCATGTTTGGAGGAAGTGTTGAAGATGGACCAGAGTAACTTCCCAGCTTCCTCAAATCAGATGCACATAAACATTCCAGACACATCTCCTGTCTGACACATCTCCCTTCACCTTCCATGCATGGAAGAGTGTAGACACTCTGTCTCATTTATGCTCTCATTCACTGGAGTTCTAGTGTGCTGCACAGGGCTGAGCACACAATTGGTGTTAGTGTAAGTTTGAAGAACACATGAGTGAATGCCTAGGTGTGAATGACCACAGCTAGGGTGCTGGGGTCCCCAAAATCCCCATCAAAGCACACTGGCCACCTACCACCAACACCTGCTCACCAAGACAGGGTGCCTTGTAGAGAGGATAGGTTAGAGAAAAGGAGACAAGAAAGCCCCATTCATAGAAGCCATTCCCAGACTGTTTTCTCTCTTGACCTTGACCTCAGGCCCTGCCTGGACAGCCCAGCTTCAAAGCTGAAGCCAGAGGCTGTCTCAGGACATGACCCTGTAAACCCTGGGGAAGGAAGGCCCTACCTGACTCTCCTGCTAACCAGTAGGGGTTCAGGGTTGACTGGACAGACTTCCAGCCAAGGGACAGGTTCACAGAAAGGAGAGGAGTGTTGATGTCCTCTCCAACATTTATGTCCCCTGCAGTCAGGCTGAGTGGACATGAAAGGCCGCCTTTAGCCTGAGGGTGTGCATCCAAGCAGAACCTGGGAACCAGAGGCAGTCTCACTTCTGGAGAACCTACTGTCCTATCCCCCACATCAATGTGCTCCCCCATCCTTCATGACACATAACAATTATGGCTAATTGGCAGAGTATGATATTTGGTAGTTATTTAGTTCATTGTGCATTTATTCATTTCAATTTTGTAGCAATTATATTTCAGAGGCAGTGATGATTTTTTAGATTTTTTAGCTTTGTGAGCTCTGGAATTGCTCGAAGGCTCTGGGCACTGTACCTGCAGGAGAGGCTGGGAGTCTAGCATCACTTTGATGGTCAGGGTAGATTATGGGCCTCGGGCCATTTTGATGTCAGCAAGCAGACCACCTTCCTCCCTTCGCCAGTGGTCTCCCTAAGGCACTGCTGAGGTCCCAGCGGCAGGTGTCGGAGACGAGGCCGTCACAGCCCAGAAGGCCTTGGTGATGGCCTAAATTCCAGGCTCAGACTCTAGAGAGCATAGATCCAGTGTCCAGACCTGCGATCCTTGTATCTCTGTGTTGGGGCGGGGTGTCTTACATGTATGACTCTTCCTGCACATGGGAGAACCATTTGGTTCAGGCAACTGCTGGCCCCACGCCCTACAGAGTCGTGCCCACATGACCCCCACAGGGTCATCTTTGATGTCAGGCTGCGATCTGGTGAGTTCCTGTGGCTTCCCAGAGGCCACAGGGCCTCCCTGTAGACGCCAGTCACTCGCTCTCCTGGCCTCTAGCCTCATTAGTGGTAACTCTGCTTGCTTCTGTTCCCTAAAATAGGACCCTAGCTGGGAGACAGTTCTGAAATGGCTCAGCATGCCCCCTCTTCTTGGCCAGATTTCAGACTCTGGGGTAGAGAACAGGGGACTCCAGGGACTGGCTGCCTCTCTGTGAAAATGTGATGTTGGTTGGTAGATGGGGGGAGGGAAGGTAGGAAGAAAGAAGCTGAAGATGCTGGGCGCGCCCTAGGCCTGTGAGGTGGGCCTGTGAGGTGGGGCTAGTGGTTGGGAGGGAAATCCACCTGGCTGGCTCCCAGTGCTGTTGCAGGGCCAGCGGCTGGTGCAGGCCCAGGAAATGTCTGTCTGGTAGTTGGGGGAAGGGGGTTGTTAAATGGGGCCAAGTCTGGCGCTGTGTCTGCAACACTGGAAAGAACCGTGGGACTGAGGCTCCCCCTTCCCCGCCCGATTGTTGGGGCTACCCTGCCTGTCTTCCATGAGACAGCCTAGTGTGGTAGGAACACTTCTCTCCCCATTGGGCGAGGCTGTGTGTGTGTGTGTGTGTTCATCTAACCCACTAGCAGCCTGTAACTGCCAGTTTCCTACCTGCCCATAACAACGCCAGACCCAAATCACTGCTCTCTCCTCCCTCACCAGACGCCCATGGGCACCTCCGGAGAAACAAACTGACAAGGATAATTGAAGCCATTCTCTGGAGAATCTGAGTCTAAAGTAAAAGTTCTCAGCCCTGTCTAGGTTGTTAAGGCCAGAAGGTCCGGTTCTGGGTATCTGGGTATTGAATCATGCGGATGTCTGCCTGAAGTCTGTCCAAGGGCAGGGAATGCGGCAGGAGGGGCCCATTGGAGCAGGATGAAGTGTTGTTTGCTGGTGGCCTACTTCTGTGGGTGGCTTAGAGGGTGGGGGATCAGGAACATGTTCTCTGCAATAGGAAAAAACACCTCATTTCAAGAGGTTGGACTTTGCAGCCAGCTAGCCACACTGGAAGCGTGGCTGCAGCTGACCCCTACCCTATTCTGCCCTCCCCTCTCCAGCACAACAGAGGCTGCCTCAGAGAGCATGCAGGGCCCTGGCCTGCAGGGGTTCTTGATTCAGGGTGGAGAGGGTTGGGATGCAAGAGCTGAGCTGATCTGGGCAAGAGGCTGGTCCTCACCTGCCTCAGGGGCTGGTCCCTGACCCTTTGCTCTGCTCCCACGCCACCCCAGTTGCCTCAGTTTCTCATGCAATCCAGACTTCCTCCTGGGGAGGTGCTGGCCACAGGGAGACTAGATGAGGGTTAAAGCCACTAGTCGCAGGTGGCCCCTGAGCACTTGTGATGTGGCTGGTCTTAATTGAGGTGTGCTGGAGGAGGAGCATACACATCAGATTCTGAAGACTTATTACAAAAAAAAGGAAAGTATCTCAGTAATTTTATATATTAATTACATGTTGAAATGATAACATATGAGTTAAGTGAATATTAAAATTTAATATTTTTATTTAATTTTTAAACATTGAAAAAATGTGGCTAGAAAAACATTTAAAATTACATATGCAGTTTGCATTGTACCTCTATTGGTAAGCTCTGGGTTAAAGAATTTGGAGTTCAATGTTAAAAGCCAAAAAGTCTGGAGAATGTGGGATATTTCCCCCCCCAACACCATCTCTAGATGTGTCTCTAGACCAGTTCTCAAATTAGGATCCCAGGTTTTAATCTCAGGGATTTAGAGAATTTTTAAACACAGTATTCTGTTTTCAATTCAATGACCTTTTAAAAATTCTTTTGCAGATGAATTTCAATTAGAAGGCATTTTCATAGGATAAGATTTTCATGTCCAAGGTCAATGTTTCTCAAATTGGAATCCTCGGACATTTTCTCAGGAAATCAGATATTTTTCCCTCCCTTGGACAGGTCCATACTCAACCCAAGTTTAAGAAATCATGTTCTCAGGCCTCCGGATTCGTAGATGGCACTGTGATCATCTGGCAGCTCCGTTCCTCTGTCTTTTCATACTTCCCACCTCTCCTCTTTGCCCCCCACCCCCATCAGCATCCCCATCCTCTTCCTTTCCCAGGAACCCAGGGAAGGGGCAGTCCCTGGGAGAGACCCCTGGGATTGCAGGGAGGCTAAAAGGGATGCCCTTTTCCCACCTTCTTCCTGACATCCACTGACTTTCCTAAGGATGCTGTGGGGCCTTCTGGCCTTCTCTAACTTTTGATGCAACCTCTGAAGCTCACACTTGGGGTGTATGAAGGGAATGAGCTGGGGAAGAGGCAGGCTTTTACTTTCATTCGTTCTTGTATATGCCCTGACCAGGGATTGAATCGAAACCTTGGCGTATCAGGATAACACTCTAATCAACTGAGCTACCCAACCAGGTTCAAGGCAGGCTTTAATTTAAAAGTCACACCATCAAGAACCAGTCACTCACCCTGGCCCCATTAGGGCCTGAATGAGACCATTAGAGGCAACAAGAACTGACGAGACTATTTATGTTTTACCAGCACCACCTGTAATTGAAATAAAACTATCTATCCTAATCCATAAAATGAGAAGAAAAGGGTCCATGAAAGTTCTAATTGCTCATATAGTGACTACTGTGATGTATTTTTGGAAATATCAAGATAACGTTGTGTGTGTGTGTGTGTGTGTGTGTGTGTGTGTGTGTGTGTGTGTGTGTGTGTCACCTTGGAAACCCAGCATCACACAAACCCCTCTCCCTGCCACCTGACCCCTGCTCTCCCACCCCACCCCACCCCCACCAAACTTCTCCCCACAGCCACCCTTCAGGCCCTACTGAGAAATGCCATTGTTGGAGGGACCGCTAGGTGTTAGGTGGGGACTAGAAGGACAGGAAGGGTCTATTTGGAGAGGGATGGAGGGAGGAAGGAGATGAGGGCTCCACCCCTTCCTACTGACCCAGAACCCTTCCACTCTTGCCTCCATGCTGGCCATTGTCTGTTCTCCAGAGCCTCTTGGAGTAGGTGGGATGTCAGATGTCTGGGGTCCTCTCCCTGCCCTGTTGATATAGTCACCCACCCACTCCCAGTGAACTTTGGGGCAGATCTCTTTGACAGCCCCTCTCATGCCTGGATCAGCCACTGTCCGCTCCCTTACTGTCCAGCTCTGAGGCTGCCCACTCAAGAGAAGTCCCAAGGCCTCTACCTCTGGCCTTTCTGGGTCCAGAGGGAGCAAAGAAGGGAAACCTTTGCCTCAGCCCAAGGCAGGCAAGAGTTGGGGTTGAGAGGCTCATTAAAGCGTTTAATAAGCAATTAACTCAAGAGATGAGCCCTTTGGCTGGTCTGGAACTCCCTCCTCCCAGTGGGGTTCCTGGCAGAGAAAGGCTGAGTGGGTGGGCGGAGTGGGTTCACACAGTTGGCTGGGGCCTCTTTCCTCCTCCCCTCAGTACAAATGAATAAATAAACAGCTGGGGCGGGCAGAAAGGCTGAGGCCCCGGGGAAGCCCAGGGCTCTATCCACTTTCTGTTAAGGCTGCAGACAGGTTTAGGGAGGCAAGGGCACTCGGGCTCTCCAAGTTGGGGCCTTTTCCAGGCTGGTAGCGTCCCCTTCAGGTGAGATCCCCAGCTCCCAGAGAAAGTGCTGGAGACCCCAAGAAGGGGCAGCTCCTCCCATCTGCCTCCACTCCTACTGGGCTTCCTGTTCCACCTGCCAGAGCCCTGACCCAATCCAGGTCATTCCTCACCTCTGTCTTCCGGATATTGGGCTTAGGGCTTGGGCAGACAGAGCTGTGGAGGGCTGGAAGGGGGTGCTAGGGGCGGAACCCAGAGGTTCCAAAATATAAAGGAGCATTGCAACTTCACATCTATTCACCTACCCACGTGCATACAGAGTCCTAAGTCAGACCCAGGCCGTAGGGCAGTAGTTCTCAACATTGGCTGCGCATTAGAATCACCTGGGCATCTTTTTAAAATCCTGATTTCGGGGCCTCATCCTCCGGAAATTCTGTTTCTTTGTTATGGGGTGGGACCACAACATTAGTAACAAAGAAACAGAATTTCCGGAGGATGAGGCCCAGAAATCAGGATTTTAAAAAGATGCCTAGGTGATTCTAATGCGCAGCCAAGGTTGAGAACCACTGCCGTAGGGGGACCCAGGGCAGGTGAAATGCCTGATTTGGGACTCACTGTTGACTAGTCTGCCTGAACCATTTGCTGGCTCTCCCTATGGTCTCCTGGAGCTGGTGGTGGTCTGCTGCCTTGCACAACTTTAGGTGGTGCCATTTATACAGAATGCAATGTGGCTGTAATTGTGAAACTGGCTCCCCACTCCATCCACACTTTCCAGCTGTAACAGCACATTCTCCTATCTGTGTTCTCCCTCTGCCTTCAGGCTCTTGAGCAACAACAAGATCACTGGGCTCCGGAATGGATCCTTCTTGGGACTGTCCCTGCTGGAGAAGTTGTAAGTGCTGGGGCGAGGTGGGGTGGAGGTGGGGCATTATGGTCATGGGCAAGTTCAGGAAGGATGAGGAATGCTGGTTGCTAAGGGACCCCACAACCCAGGACCTGCTGGCCAAGAGTCAGACCCACTAGGACCCTGCCCAGGACTTGACTCCCAGGTGGAAGGCAGAGAGGGGTTGGTCTGAGAGAAAGACCAGTTTCTTCACTAGTGACAGCAGAGAGAAGTAGAGAAACTTCGCTGGTCTGAGCAGGGAGGAGCTAAGGGAAGTTCATTAACGCTCTTTAATGAACAATTAGCTAGGAGCGCTGAGCCTCTTAGTTGGCCAGAAGCCTCTGCCTCCTCCCAGCTGGAGGCCCAGCATAAAGAAAGGGCTGAGGCAGGACCTAGTGTGACTGGGACCTCTTGCCTCCTTCCCTAAAAACAAATCAACAAACAAAGCCCTGAGGGGCCAGAGCCCTGGGCGGAGGGTGGGGATAGCGGTCACATCGAAATCTCCATGTACCCACATCCCTCCTCCGTAGTTTAGAGCTGCAGCTTCCATCTGTCCATCGGCCCTACAGACCCAGGCAGGCTGGGGTTGGACTCAGGAGGCCCTGCTGGCCCACAAGAAACTTCTTCCCAGAGTTGGGAAATTGACCCGGTCATGGGCAAGTCACTTAACCTGCCAGATGAGGGGATTGAACCAACCCCTCTGTCCGTTTTCTGTTGAGTTGGCATACTCCAGGATCCACAGCCTGTATGACAGCTCTGGGTCCTGCCTCCTCCACAAAAGACCTGGCCTCCCATCCTACTTGGAGACTGAGCCCCACCCCCTTCCATCTGCCCCTCCTCAAACCCTTCTCTCCCATCTCTGCTGCCACCCTTCTGGGCATTCCCAAGTCTTCCAACAGGGCCCCTGCCCCTCTCTAGTACCATTTTGCCTAAAAGGCTTGGATCAGTGCAATGGAGAATAAGGCGGCAAAGACCCAAAGAGATGACAATCTAGTGGAGACCACAGACAAAGCCATATGTATTAGAATTAAGTAGGATGGGGTTTATATACATCAAGTCCAAAAGAAGGCTGGAAAGTTCAAGGGGAATAGAGATGCAGTAACTACATGACAAGGAGTTTAGATCTTTAACCAGGACAACAACCTTATGAGGTTGTCTCTATTACACCCACCTCACAGGGGAGGGGATGGCCTCTCCTCCAACCCCCCCTCCCCACGCGGTGAGGAAAGCTTCATTAGTGGTTTGGTTGGTGGGGGTGGGGAGGCAGAGCATGTTCTGTCTGATCTGGGCCATTCTAGGCGTGGGAGGGGGTCTTGGGATGTTGACCTTAGCGTCGACACAGCTCTGTGACCATCTGATCCTCTGCTCTGCAGCTCACAAACAGGGTGGTCCAGGCAAAGAGAAAGAGCTGCCACCGAGCTGTTATTTAATGTCTCCTTGGGCACCAACAAACAGGGCAGGTTTTATCTTCCCTGAGCAGTTAGCATTTGGGAGTCCGATTCCTCCGCTCAGCCCAGGCGCAGTCTTAGAGGGCCGACTGGCAGGAAACCAGACTCTCCTTCCAGGATCTTTGGGAGGAAGACAAACCGCAGCTGCCTCTCCAGCCCTTTGCTTTGCTCCACAGGGCCAGTCACCGCCCAGAGACGTTCTCCCTTCTCTTAGCACAAGCAAGCGCCACTCTGAGCCTCTCGTGGCCTCGCTGACATCTTCGGTCTTTACCCTTTCGGTTGATCAGTCAGAGACCCACTGGGTCTGCCCCCCCTCCCCCCATCCTTCAGTCTCATGAGGATAGAGCTTCTGATGAAGATGAAAAGATGGCCTTTTTCTTCCCACCCAGGTCAACATACTGAGTCAGATGCCCCTCCTCAGCACTGTGACTCTGGTCCCCACACAGCAGGTGCATGCCAAGCATGGGAGGCAATCCGGGAAAGTGAGAGAATAGTCCAGGAACAAGAACTAAATCCTCAGTCATCTGAGGCGGAAGGGGTGCTGGGAAGGAGGAAGAGCCCTCAGGGCCCGAGTTTGAGCCCCTGCTCTGTTAGGAATCATTCTTGTCATTCATTCTAGAGAACTTTGTTGAGCCCCTTTATTTATTTTATTATTCATTTATATATCACAGATCTCCCTTATGTATGTGCAAAGCTCTGCCCTAGGCATTGGGAGTGAACACAATAGACCAAGTGCCTGCCCTCATGGAACTTACCCTCTCTTGATGGGACCCGGAAAATAGCAAATAAATGTATATTATGTCAGGAGACAATAAGTGCTACAAAGCAAAACGAATCAGGGTAAGGAGGATAGAAAGCAATTGGGGGAGCAGGCGTTTTATGTAGTGAGGTCAAGAAAGGCCTCGCTGACAAGGTGACTGGGCCTGAGACTCAAGGAATGGGGAAATGGGAAAAATCAGAACGCTAGCAAGAGCAGCAGTTAGCAAGGCCCTCGCGGCCAGAGTATGTCTGGCGAGTCTGAGGAACAGAAGGGCATTGTGACTGGGAATTGGGCAGAGATGAGGTCAGAGAGATGCAGGGGTGGGCGCCAGGTTGGGGGCCTCAGTTTCCTCATCTGTGAAAAGGGGGGTGGTGGGGATAGGGTGATTTGTAACGTGCATTATGGATTTAAAATTCTATGATCCTGTGTGTGTGTGTGTGTGTGTGTGTGTAATATCCACAAGTGCTGCATGTGAAGGAAAAGATCAAAGAGCAAAGTGATGAGGCCAGTTATTCCAAAGAAGGGGAGACCTCTGGGCCAAAGGATGGAGAGGCAGTGCAGGGGCTGGAGGACCCAGGGTCTCCATCCTGGTTGATCACGACTGTATCAGTCGGGATTCTCCAGAGAAGCAGAATCAGTCAGAGATGCGTGTATGTGTGTGTGTATCTTTCTATAATGTACTAAAGGCCTGGTGCACAAACTTTGTGCACTTGGCGGGGGGGCACTCAGCCTGAATTGCGAGAGGATGCAGCCCAGGCTGAGTGACCCCACCGGTGCACAGGGCCGGGGAGGGATGGCCAGCTGGGGAGGGACCGCAGAGGGCTCCAAGGCATGTCCAGCCTGTTTCGTTCAGTCCTGATCAGTCGGACCCCAGCAGCAAGCTAACCTACTGGTTGGAGCGTCTGCCCCCTGGTGGTCACTGCATGTCATAGTGAGCGGTTGAGCAGCCTTAGCATATCATTAGCATATTACACTTTGATTGGTTGAATAGCAGACTGGACGACTGGACATTTAGCATATTAGGTTTATATTATATAGGATAAAGAAATTGTTTTATTTTATTTCTTTATAAAGAAATTTATTTTAAGGAAATGGCTCACATGATATGAGGGCTGGCAAATCCACAATCTGTAGGGCAAACCCACAGGCTGGTAAGTCAGGCAGGAGTTGATGCTATAGTCTTGAGACAGAATTTCTTTTCAGCTTTTGCTATTAAGGCCTTCAACTGATTGGATGAGGCCCACCACATTATCAAAGGTAATCTCCTTTATTTAAAGCCAGCCGATGTGGTTAACATCTACAAAATGCCTACACAAACACCTTCAGACTAGTGTTTTGATTAAGTTCCTGGGTGCTATAGCCTGGCCTAGTGGACACATAAAACTAATCACCACAAACACTATCCCACTATCTCAGAGATGGGAGAGGGCCTGGGCCCCCGCTCCTGGAGACGCTAATTCATCAGGTTGGAAGGGGCCTGGGAATTTCTTACAAGGTATGCAGGCGATTCTCATGCTCATCTGGGGTTGGGAACCAGTGGACCAGATGACCCGTAGACTGTGGGCCTATTCATCACAAATAAGACGCCGTGGCCTGGCGTGCAGTTGGTGCCAGGAAACACTGATCTCTCTGTCCTGTCAGACTGAGACGTCCAGGCTTGGGCAGCCGAGCCCATGGCAGCTTAACATCCCACAGTCCAGAGCAGCAAGTCCTGTGGGAGGGTTGGGGCCTCGACTAATAACTGAAGTAGTAGGTCTGGGCTGCTCCAGAAAATGCTGGCAGTGCCTCCCTGTGCCAAGGGCTCCTCTGCCTCTAAGAATGGGTCCAGTGTAAGCGTGTGGGGGGAATAGGCCAACCTGCTCCCTGTTTCGCAATGCAGGACCCTGAGGCTGGGGAGGGGACAGAAAGGGCGAGGAGTGGGAATGTGCCGGAGTTAATCCCATGGGAGTAACCATGCTCCAGAGAAGTTGGGGGCGAAGGTGAGGATGAGGATGCAGGGGACACACCTTTATCAGCCAGGCAGGATAGACAAGAAACCCTGGAAGAGGGACCAGCAGAGGCAGTTCCTGGTCAGCCCAAGGAGTGTATAGAAGGGCCCAGACATGGGCGGGGGCCCCCCTCTCTGGATTCCACAACCCCTCAGCATGGGCCAGCCTGTTTGTTGCCCAGAGGAAGGATTTCTGGGGTGAGGGTGGGCAGGCTAGGAAATGGCCCGGAGCTTTACTCTGGGATTGAATCATGCCTTTGCCATTTACCTTTTGGGTGCCTCGGGCTCCTCACCTGGAAAATGGGGCAATGCAAGTTTCCCTGACAGGTTGTCATGGGATGTGTTCCTCTAGGGCAGTGGTTCTCAACCTTCCTAATGCCGTGACCCTTTAATACAGTTCCTCATGTTGTGGTGACCCCCAATTTCATTGTTACAAATTGAACATAATTAAAGCATAGTGGTTAGTCACAAAAACAATATGTAATTATATATATGTTTTCCGATGGTCTTAGGCGACCCCTGGGACAGGGTCGTTCGACACCCAGATTGAGAACCGCTGCTCAAGGAAGAGAGCCTGGGACAGCAGGGACTTCAGGCAGTAAATGGCAGTTCCCTTCTCGGAAGAGTTCCAAGTTACAAGATGTTATACGCCCCCTCATTGCGTGGGATTGTCCAGAGCTCCCAGCCTGCAGCAGGCAGTCATGTAGATGAAATGGAGGTGCTGAATGCACTAGGGCTGGCCCATTCCTCTGGCGCCTCGCCTCTCTGCCCAGATCCCCCACCATGCGCAGTCAATGGGGAGCAAGCCACTGCTCGGCTTCCCGGGGCTCCGAGGGCGCCCCAATCACAGTGAGAGCCCTGGACCAAGTGGGCAACAGGGCACACAGCCCCGGAAGAGGCCGCGAGAGGAGGCTGGCGTGCGAGCGAGTGGCTGCGTGGACACCGCCCCCAGAGGCCGTGCGCTCGGAGGGAGGGCCCGGGGCGGGGAGCCGCGCAGCCCCAGGATGATTTGTCATTGCCTAATGAGATTAATAAGCCTGGGGGGCTGGTATGCAGGGGGATGGGCTTCTCATTAGAAGCAGATGGTCATGGGAATGGTGGCAAGTGGGGTCCGGGGGTGGAGCGCCGCTCACCCGCCAGGTGGTTTCCATTAATCTGTAGGCGGGGCCAGGGGGGCGCGGTCCCTCCTCCCCTTCCCACCCCCCTGACTTGGGGAGGAATGCGGCGGGGAGCTGCCCTAGGATCTGGCGCAGCCGAAGGCCCAGAAGGGAGGCTGATGGGTTCAGGGACAGCCCTCCCGCTTGCTGTTGTAGCTCCATGTCTGGCACAGGGTATGTGCTCAATAAATACCTGTTGGATGATATCAGAGATGAGAGGGGCCTGGGGCTTAAGGGTGGGAGGGAGGCTAGGACCATCTTGGCTTTCCTCCCGGCCACCAGACCTCTCCCTCTCCCGCCCCCCCTCCCAGCCCCCAAACCGCCCCTATACCTACGGGGGTGTTTTAAGCCCCTTCTCAGCCAGGCCCCGCTTTCTAGTGAACCCTGGAAGTCCTGGAAGGTTCGGGGAAAGCTGCTCTGCAACCTCCGAACCAATAATTTGGCTTTCAAACCCACAAGCAGGGAGGTCTGCAGGGGCCAGAGGGAGCCAACTTTGTGCCGCCCCACCCTGTCCAAGCGTGGTGCGCGCGCGCTCACACACGTGTACACACGCACACACACAAACATACACACGCACACTGTTACACAAACTCACGCTCAATCTCTCTTGACAGTTTTAGTGAGATATAATTTACATACCATAAAGTTTGTCCAGTTAAAGCATTCAATCCCATGGTTTTTAGTATATTTACCCAGTTATGCAATCATCATCATAATCTAATTTTAGAACATTTTCATCATCCCCAAACCTTGAATCATTAGTAGTCACTCCCTATTTCCTAGCCCTAAGCAACCACTAATCTACTTTCTGTCTCTGTAGATTTGCCTATTCTGGACATTTCATATACATGGGATTATGTGTTTTTTTGTAACTGTTTTTTTGTAACTTGCACTTAGCATAATGTTTTCAAGGCTCATTCATATGATAGCATGTATCAGCACTTTATTCCTTTTTATGATCAAATAATATTTCTTGTGTGCCTATGGCACATTTTTGTTTATTCGTTTATCGGTTGATGGACATTTGAGGTTTTTCCACGTCTGGGCTTACTGTGAATAATGCTACTATGAACATTCCTGTCCAGGTTTTGTGTGCGGATGTATGTTCACTTCTCTGGAATATCCACCAAGGAGTGGAATTGCTGGGTCGCATGGTTACTCTAACTGTCATACTGTTTTTCCAAAGTGGCTGCCCCATTTACACTCCTAGCAATAATGTACAAGGGCTCCAGTCTTTCCACATTTTCATCACCACTTGCAGTTGTCCTTTTTTAAATATATTTTTATTTATTTTGGAGAGGAAGGAAGAGGGAGAGAAAGAGACATCAGTGATGAGAATCATTGATCAGCTGCCGCCTGCACGCCCCCTACTGGGGATCGAGCCCGCAACCCGGGCATGTGCCCTCCAGAATAGAACCCAGAACTCTTCAGTCCACAGGTTGACGCTCTATCTGCTGAGCCAAACCAGCTGGGGCACCTTTTACTTTCTTAATGGTCTCCTTTAAAGAGCAAAAGTTTTAATATTTTATTAAATCCAACTTATCCATCTGCTATTTTGTTGCTTGTGCTCACACACGCACTCTTACGCACTAAGCTTCCCGAGTTTCTATTTTCCCCAGAAGGGTAGAGGATATGATTTGCTCCCAGAAACACACACATACACACACACACACACACACACACACACACACACACACTTTGGCCATGGGTGGGGGTGTCCTTCTCCATATTGACATGGATACAGGGAGAGGGGTGTGCTGAGTCAGGGGAGCCTGGGCTGGGCTGGGCAAGTGGTTTGGGGGAGGGAAGGCTCCATCCGTACCCTGCACCTCCTCCAGGTTCCAAGACCACAGCTCTGTGGAAGCAGAGGGCAGAGAGGGACGGGAGATGCCACATCACAGAAACATCTGTGCATCCTCATGACCTCATCTAAGAAATGAAGGGATCAGATTAGACAGCCCAGAGCAGGGGTTCCTCACAGCCCCTGAAATCATATGCACAATGTTGGGTGTATGCATTTTTCTGGGGCGGGAGTCCATCCTCAAATTTTCAAAAGGTTGTGCTTAGCAATTATGGTGCAGAACCACCGACCTATGAGGGCCTCACAGGTCTGAAGAAATTACCCAAGTTCTGGCGGAGTATCCCTTCCTGCTGCTGGGGAGGGCACCACCCCGGAGCTGCTTAGGGACCAGGGACCAGATGGGAGGGGGGGCTGTCAGAGCTCAGCCCAGGTCCATGCCCCTCAGGAGAGGACCCAGGACTACTGGTCTGGGCGAGCAGGCCAGCTCCCAAGGGCACTGGAGGGGCTGCCTTGGTCTCCCAGGAAGCCACTCTGTGGGTGGGAGGCAGGGGGAAGGAGTGCCAACACTTGGTGGAAGCTCCCCTGTCAGTAGCCCCGGCCTGGCTGGGCTGCAGGAAGTCCAGGGCAGGAAAGCACTGGGGCGAGTGGTCGGCCGCCTTGCTCCCATCTGCAGAGCATCAGTGGGGCAGGAGGGTGGGGGTTCCCGCGGAGAGGAGGGCCGGAGGAAATGAGAATAAACACAAGCGAGCTAGAGGGAAGGGGCGGGGGGCTGCAGCCTCAGCCCCTTGGCAGCCCATGAAGGGAAGTGACACAATGAGGAATGTGTTTCCCTCTGCCGTCCCCCGCACGGGGGTGGGATGCAGAGCCCTGAGAATGGCCAGACCCCAACAGGGGCCAGGGGGCACACGCTGGAATAGCTTCGGAGAAGGGGGGGAGGGGTGCGTGAGGGCGAGGGTCTGGGCAGCAAAAGGGGTGACAGGCAGGAAGGACAACCCTGGGTCCTCTCCAGCCTCCACTCCGCAGGGTGTTCCAGGCCTGCGTGCTTGCACGTCCCCTGCGTGTGCCCGGCCTGCGGCACCTCTCAGCACGCCTGCGTATGGAAGCCTTTCCCCTGGGAAGCTGACCCCTTCTGGTAGCTTCCCTTCTTTCCCAAGGGACCTCGGGCTATGGAGGCTGGCTGAGTCCTTGGTATGAGCGGAAGCTGGGGTATGAGGACCCTGGGCCATGGTGTTTCATTGCTCGGCTCTCTCTCTCCCTCTCTCACTCTCTCACTCTCTCACTCTCTCACTGTGTGTGTGTGTGTGTGTGTGTGTGTCCCCAACTGGGACGGTCAGTGGGAAAACAGGCCCCCTGGTGGGAGGGCACCTCCCCATCCTGGACACCCATTTCCTCTCCTCCCAGCAGGGAGCTGGCTCCGTTAACCCCCTCCTGCCCGCAATCCAGAGCTGTCCCTGAGGCTTTGGCAGGAGAGTCTGTCCCTCATTCTGGGCTGGAGAGTGGCAGGGGCTCCACTACCTTCCGTCCCGGCTGTGCCCTGCTGGAGCTCAGCCCGGAGTGGTACTTCCCTTGCCACCTTCTCTCAGCCTTGTGCCTCCTCGGAGACCCTGGGGGGAGGCGGGCACAGGACTGAGCAAACCCCCACCCTAAGGGGCCAGGCGCTCAGGTGATTCATGGCCTTGCCTTGGAGGCCGGGGGCCCTGCGACCAGGTCAGCATCCATACAGTCATCAACCCGCTGCCTGGCCTGTTTCCTCACTTGTCAGCTGGAGAGACTCGCAGGATAGCCATGAAACACCTCCGACAGCCAGGCAGGGGCAGATTCCATCTTTGCAGAGCACTTTACAAAAGACTGCAACACCCATTTTGAAATGATTCTCACAACCGCCCCATGAGACACTCAAGGCAGCGCAGAGGTGGAGCCAAGGCCTCCCAACCCCGAGCCCAGTGCCCTCACTTCTTGTTCACATGCTCCGCTTCCTGCTTCCTCATCTGCGGCCCTGGCATCCCTTCTCCTGGCATCTACATCCTCGCTCGTCTTCCTGACCAAGTACCCCTTACGCCAGGCAGGAGGCTGCAGAGACGGGTTTGAGGGGCAAGGGGCCTTCATCCAGCTTCCCAACCAGTGCTAAGGAGTGGCGGAATTTAGGAGGAAACTGAGTCCCAGAACTTCCTGTGACAGTGAGGCTACCAGGCCCCAGGGGAGCGAAGGGAGGGGAGCGGGGGTTGGGCAGAGCCCGAGAGGTATGAGGGCCTCCCCACTTTCCTCCCGCAGGGACCTGAGGAATAATGTCATCAGCACCGTGCAGCCCGGTGCCTTCCTGGGCCTGGGGGAGCTGAAGCGCTTGTAAGTGGCATGTCCTGCCCCCAAACCTCCCGTTATCCCTGCAGAGAAGGCCCCATGGATCCCATGAGCAACCACCCCACCTACTCACCCACCATCCCTTCTTCTCACCCACCCATAGCGGCCCCCTTCCCCTCACAGCATCCTGGCTGGGGGCAAAAATTTGAACCCCCAACCTCATCTCCTTTTTCACTCTGCTTCCCACACAAGCCACACTTTTGTGTCCCCCCCAAGGGGCTCTGTGTGCAACCACGTGGCCTGCTGAGGTTGTGTGTGTGTGTCTTTCTAGAGATCTCTCCAACAACCGGATTGGCTGTCTCACCTCGGAGACTTTCCAAGGCCTCCCCAAGCTTCTCCGACTGTGAGTGAGGGGCAAGGGGCGAGGGAAGGCTCACCCCAAAGGACGGTTAGGGAGGAGGAAGGCAGCTCCAAACCCTTATAGATCCCTGCCTGCTCTTCACTCCCCGCTCCTCCCTCTGGCACCAGAAGACCTTAAGATCAGCTCACTGTTCCCTGTCCCCTGCAGAAACATATCTGGAAACATCTTCTCCAGTCTGCAACCTGGGGTCTTTGACGAGCTGCCAGCCCTCAAGCTTGTGTGAGTATCTTTTCCCAGCCCAAGGACTCAGACCCCGCCTCATTCCTCTGCCCTGGAGGGAGGCGCCTGGGCACCTGACCACAGTGGCCAGCCTGTGAGGAGGCAGGACAGACAGTGGCTGAGACTCCACCGTCGTTGCCTTCCCATGATTGCTGGGCCGGTGCAGACGTACCCACGGTTGCCCTCTCCAGCTCAGTCCCTCCGTGGGGCTCCATCCTAACTCCGGGAGCCCACACTCCTCTGCTCCACTCCGTGCCCTCTACCCACTCTGCAGGGACTTCGGCACCGAGTTCCTGACTTGTGACTGCCGCCTGCGCTGGCTGCCGTCCTGGGCCCGGAATCACTCCCTGCAGCTGTCCGAGCGCACGCTCTGTGCCTACCCCAGTGCCCTGCACGCCCAGGCCCTGGGTGGCCTCCAGGAGGCCCAGCTGCGCTGCGGTGAGCAAATCCTCACCCTGCACACCTCCCGGGACCCTGCCCACCCCTCAGGCCCAGGCTCCCTCCTGAAGGGCCTGGCCGCCTCCAGGCTCCCTCGGCCTGAAGTGTTCCTGGGTGGTGGGCAGGTTCTCCCCGGGCATTCTTTCCCTCAGATCCCACTAGGGGTCACCTTCCATCAGCTTTTCTAAACTTCCCTTGGGCCTGCTGCTTTATGTTTTCATCTGGGGTGCCGTGTGCTGTGGAAACGAGAACTTTTACTAGTTTGTTCTAAACCCCCCTGCCCTTCGCCTGTGCTCCTAGCCCTGGAGGCCTCCTCCTGCCCACCTCCCCTCCCCACAACCCACATCCCAGGCCCCTCCTGGACTCTCCCACACTGTGCGCTCAGGCCCCTGCCCTCTCCTCCCACAGAGGGGGCCCTGGAGCTACACACGCACTACCTCATCCCATCCCGACGCCAAGTGGTGTTCCAGGGGGACCGCCTGCCCTTCCAGTGCTCCGCCAGCTACCTGGGCAACGACACCCGCATCCACTGGTACCACAACCGGGCCCCCGTGGACAGCGATGAGCAGGCGGGCATCCTCCTGGCCGAGAGCCTCATCCACGACTGCACCATCATCACCAGGTAAGGCCCCGCTGCCCCTTCCCAGCCACAGCACCCATGTCCCGCCCCCCAGAGAGCTGTGCCCACACACGTTCCCGGGAGTATGCCGCCTGTGTCAGAGTGCGCATGTGTGTGTGTTCATGGAAGGCCAGGGCTACGTCAACGGTCCAGATAAGGGATAGAAATTAATTGCCTAATAGAGAAAATGATTATATCTGACATTGCTTTAGAGCTTTTACAGAGTATGCTATAATGGCTCTCACCTGTGTTATCAGGCTCACTCTCTCCAATCGACTTGTAACTATGGAAACCACTACCTTGCTTACCTCTGACTATAAAATAAAGGCTCAGCTTGCCTGGGGATCTTTCTCTGTGACCTCAGCCAGGCACAGGAAGGTCCACGGAGACTAAAGAGAGCTAGAGAGTTCTGAACGCTCTCTCCGTGTAAAACATTCTTCGCCAACTCCATCCACACCTTTGGGACCCCCTGGACCCCTGGGGCTGGACCCTGGCAGTAAGACAGCTATTCCCTCCATGATAAAGATGGGGAAAGTGAAGTTCAGAAAAGCATTATCACAAGGCCAATCAGAATGAAAGGAGTATGTCCTTGTGTCCCTCACTCAATTGAAGAATAAACAACCTGAAGCTCATCCTACACACCCTGGGGCAGGGCGCCTTGAGTGGCCAGGCCCGGGGTGCTTAGGGGGGTGGCATGGCCCCTGAGTACCTCACCGAGCCAGCCCTGCCCGCCTGCTTGCAGTGAACTGACCCTGTCTCACATCGGTGTGGGTGCCTCCGGCGAATGGGAGTGCTCCGTGTCCACGGTCCAGGGCAACACCAGCAAGAAGGTGGAGATTGTGGTGCTGGAGATCTCTGCCTCCTACTGCCCAGCCGAGCGTGTCGCCAACAACCGAGGGGACTTCAGGTTCGGTGTGCTCAGCTGTCCCAGAGACCCAACAGCTTCCAACCCAGCCCCCCACCCCACCCCCAACTCTTGCATCTGAGACCACAGGTGACCAGGGTCTCCCACCCACTCTAAGCTGGAGAAAGCACTCCCTTTAGTCACTCAGCTCCAAGTCCTGCTGTCGTATTCAGAGACCTCATCTTCTGATTATAACCACCTGAAATGTGTGGTGCGGGTCAGAAAGGATTTTATTTGCTTCTTTAATAGTTTACAAAGCTCGCCCACTTGAATATCACATTTAATATCCCAATGGGTCTCTCAGTTAGGAAGGAGGTATGATTCTCCCCATTGTACAGCTGAGAATACTGAGGCCCAGAAAGGATAAGTGACTTGAACGTGGGACTCAAGTCCAGCTTCCATAGCACCAATGACAGCACTAGCAGTACAAATACAGCTAGAAAGTGGAGCTTGGGAACCCCTTGAAGGCCAGCCCCAAACCACTCTTCTGGATCCTTTCCTCAGAGGGTCCGGCATCACAGTTCTAAGGGGAGGGGTGGGGCCCTTGCCTTGAGGGGCCTGGGTCATTGGCAATTCCTGCCTCTGCCCCCAGGTGGCCTCGAACTCTGGCTGGCATCACAGCCTACCAGTCCTGCCTGCAGTACCCCTTCACCTCGGTGCCCCTGAGCGGGGGCACTCCAGGTACCCAGGCCTCCCGCCTGTGTGACCGAGCTGGCCGCTGGGAGCCAGGGGACTACTCCCACTGTCTGTACACCAACGACATTACCCGGGTGCTCTACACCTTCGTGCTGGTGAGGCCAGGACAGGGGGCGGTGGGCACCCCATCAGCTCTGGTTCCAGGGACCGGGAGGGGAGAAGCCTCACACGCTCTTCTGCTCCCTGGGTGTGCACCGTGAGGGGCTCTTGCTCTCCTCCAGCTCTTCTTCTTCCAGGGGATTCATACCCCCAAGGCCACACTGAGGAAGTGCAAGCCACCCCAGCATCTTCATCCCCCAACACAGCAAGGGCAGCCTTAAGGGGGACAGCAAGGACAGCATGAGTCAGCACTGTGCTTCAGCCAGTGGCCTAGAAGTGGGCTGCCTTGAGTCGTGATGAGCTCACTCCTTACTCTGCCTGCTGTCTTGGTTAGACCCAGCCGGTGGACCAGACCCTCTCCCCAGAGCGTTAGCACAGAGGAGGGGCCCCCAGGGGCAAATCTGGAGAAGAAGGAGAAAGACTGGACTATCCACTATGCTTCCCTAGCGTTCCTAGATGCCCATCAATGCCTCCAATGCGCTGACCCTGGCCCACCAGCTGCGAGTGTACACGGCCGAGGCTGCCAGCTTCTCAGACATGATGGATGTAGTCTATGTGGCTCAGATGATCCAGAAATTTTTGGGTTATGTGGACCAGATCAAAGAGGTGAGATTCAACCAGGCCACTGGGGCCCTAGAAACTTCCTGTTCCCCATTTTCTCAAGCCTCTCACACCCCAGCCCCTGGATACCAAACCCCACCTGTGTCTCAGTGACTCCCCTTGCCCCCCTCACCCCCCCAGCTGGTGGAGGTCATGGTGGACATGGCCAGCAACCTGATGCTGGTAGATGAGCACCTGCTGTGGCTGGCCCAGCGAGAGGACAAGGCCTGCAGCGGCATCGTGGGGGCCCTGGAGCGCATTGGGGGGGCCGTCCTGAGCCCCCACGCCCAGCACATCTCTGTGGTAATGTGGGTCAGCCAGGAGGGGGCTCCTGGAGGCCTGACACTGGGCGGGAACTTAGAGTCATCCCGAAGGGAAAGGCTTCTCTCAGGCAGTAAGCCCTCCAACTGTGCACCTGCCATGAGCACCGAACTTGGCTAGATTCCCAGCCGTGTGGCCTCAGGTCCTGAGTAGTCGGGGGCAGTGAAAGAGAGGGAGGCAGTGACACCGGGGACGTTACGCTCGGCGTTATGGTGGGGAACCAAGTTGCCGGGGGGATAGCACTGTGATGGCGTGTAGAGTAATGGAGCCTTCTGTCCCCTGAGGCGAGGGTGACATTTCCGATGGTGGGTCGTGAGCCAGTTAGCAACCACGGCAGAACACCTACCACTTGCAAGATATTGTGCCGGTCCCTCGGGAGATGCAGGGGGTCAAACAGGCTGCTCTGCAGCTTAGTTAGGGAGGCAGAACAAGCCCGAGTTAAGAGGGGAGCAAGATACAAGGTGGGGTGTGAATGCATGGGAGGAAGGGCCTTAGGAGGAAGAAGGCACCATGCCAGGGACGTAGGACTGGCCAGGCCTGGGGAAGACAGTGAGGAGTAAAGGCAGAGGGACAGGGCCTGAGCAGACAGGGACTGCACAGTCTCAGGCAAGAGAGGCCAAACCGTATCTCAGAGGGTCGGGTGACAAGTTCCCTGTCCCTAGAACTCGAGGAACGTGGCATTGGAGGCCTACCTCATCAAGCCGCACAGCTATGTGGGCCTGACCTGCACGGCCTTCCAGAGGAGGGAGGCCGGTGTGCCCGGCGCCCGGCCCATAGGCCTTGGCCAGAACCCCTCTCCCGAGCTGGAGCCCCTGGCTGATCAGCAGCTCCGCTTCCGCTGTACCACCGGGAGGCCCAACATTTCGCTGTCATCCTTCCACATCAAGGTGGGCACTGGGGCAGGGAGGACGCTAAGTGGGGAGATGTGGGTGCCTGGTGAGGGTAGATGATCTGAGAGGAGACAGGACCCAGAAAAGGGGGTAGGGAAGGCAGAAGGAGGGGTAGGAAGACATCAGAGTCCCAGGATATCTGGTGTCTCTGAGGAATTCCTGTGTCCCCCCCAGAACAGCGTTGCCCTGGCCTCCATCCAGCTGCCGCCCAGTCTCTTCTCGTCCCTTCCGGCCTCCCTGGCGTCCCCAGTCTCCCCAGACTGCACCCTGCAACTGCTCGTCTTCCGAAATGGCCGCCTCTTCCGCAGCCATGGCAACACCTCCCGCCCAGGAGCTGTGGGACCCGGCAAGAGGCGTGGGGTGGCCACCCCTGTCATCTTTGCAGGAACAAGTAAGGGGATGAACTCTGGGTACCAGGTACCCAATGGGATCCCTCCTAAGTGTCCTGTGCCCCTTCATCCTGCTCTTCCTCACCTACCAGCGCCCCCTAACATCCTGGTGGAGGTGGCAGAGAATGGTGGCCCCTCACCATTTCCAAGGAGGAAGGGGGACACAGACCTCCCATAAGCAAAGCGGTTGGTGGAAAAAGGTTCAGGAAGACACTGGATTTTACATCCCAGATGTGTCAGATTTCAAAAGGGCTCTAAGTACAAACCCTTGACCCACCCAGACCTCCCTCCGTCCCACCTTCCTCCAGAGTCCCCTCTTTGCCTGGGCTTTCGCTCCCTCGGCATGACCTCCTGACCCCAGCCCTGGACTCCTCTTTTAGATATGTCACCACCGCACTTTTGGCACTTAGAGTGGGCCACGTCCCCGTGCTTTTATTTTTATTTATTTATTTATTTTTAACCCTCACCCAAGGATATGTTGTTGCTTTTTATTGATTTTAGAGGAAGGGGCAGACACACACACACACACACACACACACACACACACACACACACCTTGATTGGGTGCCCTCTGCAGGTGCCCCAAATGAGCTGGAACTTGAAATCTGGGTGTGTGCCCTGACTGGGAATCGAACCTGCCACCTTTTGGTGTACAGGACAACACCCAACCACTGAACCACACTGGCCAGGGCCCAGTGCTTTCATTGTGATTCATCCTGGTGTCTCCCCAGTGAGACTAAGGACCTGGGAGCAGGCCCACATTTGGCATCTAACTATCCACCAAGCCCAGCGCACACCCAGCCCAAGGGGGTTCTGTGCCTGCCCAGCTGCTGCTTGGTTCCACCCAGCCAGCCCCACCCCCGCCCCCACTCCGTGGCCTTGTGTGTGGACTTCCTCCCCCCTGTAGGTGGCTGTGGCGTGGGAAACCTGACGGAGCCCGTGGCCATTTCCCTGCGGCACTGGGCTGAGGGAGCTGAACCCGTGGCAGCTTGGTGGAGCCAGGAAGGGCCCGGCGGCGCTGGGGGCTGGAGCTCCGAAGGCTGCCAGCTCCGCTCCAGCCAGCCCAATGTCAGCTCCCTGCACTGCCAGCACTTGGGCAATGTGGCCGTGCTCATGGTGAGGAGAGTAGGACTGGGGAAGTTGAGGGCCAGGGGACAAGGGAGGTGTGTGAGGTGGAGCTGGGGCTCTCTGATCACCCAAGGCCACAGAGAAATCAAGGACAGCAGCCTTGTCAGGCCCCAAAACTGTCAGGACTCAGGGCAATGTCCCTGATCCTAACCCAGGGCCAGTTACCAGTTCTATCTGAGGCACACCCCCCCCCCCCCCCCCCCACACACACACTTTTCATCTTCATGAGACAGGGAGGTCCTGCTTCCACTCCCAGAATGAGAGAGCGGGTCTGGCACTACCCAGCCTGGTCTTCTGAGACCCAGCCTGCAATCCCCGATGGCCAGGTTATTAAAGTGGGGAAAAAATCTGGGAACATTTGTCCTTTCTAATCACCCTCCTTATTCACCCCCATTCATTCCCTCTTCCTCACCACATGTCACACCCTGAGCAGGCATGCAGCTGTAGTACAGACAGACTTTCCCCTCTCTCCTCATCTCCGGTGTCCAGGCTGGGGACCTGGAAAGTTCCTACAAAGGCAGGCAGTAGATTATTAATGCTACAAAGGCCACCTTTCTAAGTGGATATCATGGTACCTACACCTTTGTCTACGCAGATGGAATAAGCTGAGGATCAGACTGGGTTTGGGAAGAGGAAAACTGGCCTGGGGCCTGGTCAGGACTCCACGGGACAGCCCTTACCTGGCTTCCTATACATACCTCCTCTCCCTACTCTTCCCAGGAGCTGAGTGCCTTTCCCAGGGAGGTGGGGGCCTCGGGGGCAGGGCTGCATCCAGTCGTGTACCCCTGCACAGCCCTGCTGCTGCTCTGCCTCTTCTCCACCATCATCACCTACATCCTCAACCACAGGTGGGAGCTGTTGCAGGAAAGGAGGGTGTGGTGGGAAGACTTGGGGACGGGGGTGTCTCACTAAGTACTGGCAAGTGTTCCTTTCCCAGGTCGGTCCACATGACTTTGCCAGGCTCTTACCTAGCATTGCATTTGAAGGTTCTGGGGTTGGAAAACACATTTTGTGGGTTAAGACCTGCCTTCCCTGGAGCCTCTATCACATTCCCACATACGCATGCACACAGATACCTGCCACCCCCTCTGTGGGCCTCCCCATGGCCTTGAGACCCCCCGGGTCTGACCTTGGGCTGGGTGGCCCATTAATTACTGTTTCTGGGGCAGCTCCATCCATGTGTCCCGGAAAGGCTGGCACATGCTTCTGAACCTGTGCTTCCACATGGCCATGACCTCTGCCGTCTTTGCAGGAGGCATCACACTCACCAACTACCAGATGGTCTGCCAGGCGGTAAGAGGAGAAGGGGCTGAGGTGGGGGTTGGGGAGCTCCAAGATTAGTGATGGCAGCCTGGGCCGTAGGGAGGGGCAGGAGAGGAAAAAGGGGACTCATGCTACTAGGCCCCAGCTCCATTGTTCTCCCTGGGTCCAGTCTTACTTGTCAGGGGAGAGGAGCATGAGAGTAGAAGGTAAGAAGTAAGAAGCAGGAAAACTAGGAGGTGGGACTTCAAAGTGGAGAGGGAACCTGCAATGGAGGAGAGGTCGGGGGCGAAGCAGATAGCAGTAACTAAGTCATGGAGTCACCAGAGTGGGGGGAAAGCCTGGGGTGGACGTAGAGAGGGTAACAGCAAGGACAGACCTGGAGGAAGGTCTGGGGGAAGTTGGGGGCTGGGAAAATGGGAGGAGTGGGAGCACACTGTGGGGCTGAGGCTCTGTCCTGGCCCCAATGGAAGCAGCCCCTCCCTGGATGTGGTAGCTGTCCCAGCCTCAGCACCTTGATCCCACAGGTGGGCATCACTCTGCACTACTCTTCACTGTCCACCCTGCTCTGGATGGGTGTGAAGGCCCGCGTCCTCCACAAGGAGCTCACCTGGAGGGCGCCCCCTCCACAGGAAGGGGACTCTGCCCCACCTGCTCCCCGTCCCATGCTCCGGTACATGCTTCCCGATATCAGCTTTTCAGGGGGGAAGGGCTCAGAGGGGGGTGTAGAACACCAAATCAACTCTCCCTGGGGGATGCAGGGTGGGTCCAAGGTCCTGGGAGACCACTGTCCCAACGACAGAAGAGGCAAGCTCTAGGTGGTGCCCGGTTGCTGAAGGTCATGTAGTGGGCACTGAGAAGGGAACCTGGAAACACTCAAATTCTGCACTTAGATGAGAGAGAGGTCTGGCCTCTGTCCCTTAGAATAGTCTTGGCCAAGTCCCCTAGGGATCTACCAAGCCTGCCTTGTAGCTCCTTGCATCCATGGCAAAAAGTCCTGACAGAATTTAAAGGGGAAAGAAGATGGGATGGAGACCCCAAGTCAAGGGTTCTGAGCACCTGGTTCCTCTCCTTTGCTCCTCCTCTCTCTGACTCCCAAAACCCATTCCTTTCCAGGTTCTATTTGATCGCTGGAGGGATCCCACTCATTATCTGTGGCATCACAGCTGCTGTCAACATCCACAACTACCGGGACCACAGCCCCTAGTGAGCACACTGCCTGCCTGCCCCAAACCTACCCACCCCAGCACCAGATGCCTTCTACTCCACTGGCAGGGGCACCTGCCGGCTCACCCAGCTAGTGACCCCCACCCAAGCCCGTGCATGTTGACTAAGCCAGTCTCTGCCTGTCAACTCACTGCATCCTGTCCCCACCCACCCAGCCTCTGGACCCCGCCTCAGACTTGCTCCCTCCTCATCCACTGCCTGTGTCTCTCCTCAGCTGCTGGCTGGTGTGGCGTCCAAGCTTAGGAGCCTTCTACATCCCGGTGGCTTTGATCCTGCTGATCACCTGGATCTATTTCCTGTGTGCAGGGCTGCATCTGAGGGGTCCTCTGGCACAGAGCTCCAAGGGGGTCACGAGCAGGGTCTCCCTGGACCAAGGGGAGGAGCTGAGGGGTTCCACCAGGCTCAGGAGCAGCGGCCCCCTCCTGAGTGACTCGGGTTCCCTTCTGGCCACTGGGAGCGCAGGGGTGGTGACGCCCGGACCCCCAGAGGACGGGGACGGCCTCTATTCTCCGGGAGTCCAGCTGGGCGCGCTGGTGACCACGCATTTCCTGTACCTGGCCATGTGGGCCTGCGGGGCTCTGGCCGTGTCCCAGCGCTGGCTGCCCCGGGTGGTGTGCAGCTGCCTGTACGGGGTGGCGGCCTCAGCCCTGGGCCTCTTCGTCTTCACCCACCACTGTGCCAGGCGCAGGGACGTGGGGGCCCCCTGGCGCGC